GATTACAGGCGTTGTAGCCACTCACCCTGCCAAGAAATTCTCTTTTTTTTGAGACAGTCGTCTGCTCGTCTCCGGGCTAGAGTGCCGTGGCATCAGCCTAGCTCAAAGCAACCTCAAACTCCTGGGCTCAAGCAATCCTCCTGTCTCAGCTCCCGAGTAGCTGGACACAGCATACACCACCATGCCTGGCTAATTTTTCTATACATTTTAGTTGGCCAATTAATTTCTTTCTATTTTTAGTAGGGATGGGGTCTCGCTCTTGCTCAGGCTGGTCTCAAACTCCTGAGCACAAACGATCCTCCCACCTCAGCCTCCCAGAATGCTAGGATTACAGGTGGGAGCCACTGCACCCCGCTCTTCTTTTTTTTTAAGAACCACTTTCTAACTTTAAGAACCTTACAAGATAGTAGGCAAGGAGACTTATTCAATTAGTATCAAAACTACTTATACATGTCATTATGTGTTAAATTGTGTCCCCCCAAAAGATATGCTGAAGTCTTAACTCCCAGTAATTCAGAATGTGACCTTATTGGAAATAGGATCTTGTAGATTTATTAGTTTTTTTTTTTTTTGTAGATGAGTCATATTGGAGTAGGACAGACTCTTAACCCTAAAGTATGGAAAAAAAAAAAGGCTGGTAGGTCAGTGTGTTCATGCTGTAATCCCTGGCACTCTGGGGGTGGCCCAAGGTGGGAGGATCCCTGGGGATGATTCAAGACCAGCTTAAGCAAAAGTGAGACCACATCTCTACTCTAAAAAGAAAAATAGCGCGCATGGTGGGACACGGCCTGTTTGTCCAGCTACTTGTGAGGCTGAGGCATGAGAAATCGCTTGAGCCCAGGAGTTTGAATTGCAGTGACCAAGATTGACCACCACTGTACTTTAGCTCATGGTGACAGAGTGAGACTCTATCTCTAAGAAAGAAAAAAAAAAAAGGAAGCAAGAAAGAGACACAGACCACAGGAAACAAGAATGCCACATGATGAGGATGGAAGATGCCACTGCAACACCAAGGAATGCCAAGGACTGATGGCCACCACCAAAATGAGAAAGAGCAATGGAATAATTCCCCTGTAAGTGTTCAGAACGAGTTTGGACTTGCTACACCTTGAGTTTAAGGACTTCCAGCTCCAGAACTGGAGAAACAAATTCTGTTTTTTAAAAACCCAATTTGTGGACTTGTTACAGCAGCCTAGGAACTAATATTAATGAGTTTATAGCTAGTATTGTAAACCAAAATGGCAATACAAAAATCTTTCCAGCTGATGTGAGCTTGTAGAACATGGCATTTGGTGAGCTTAGGTAGCATGGTTTTGACAGGTAGAGATGACAGGTAGAAACGAGCCCTTATGTTCTTTTTTTTTTTTTGACAGTCTCACTTTGTTGCCAGGCTAGAGTGAGGCCATGGTGTCAGCTAGCTCACAGCAAGCCAAATTCCTGGCTCAAGCAATCCTCCTGCCTCAGCCTCCCGAGTAGCTGGACTGACAGGCATGCGCACTTGCCCGGCTATTTTAATATGATATTAGTTGGCCAATTATCCTTCTATTATAGTAGAGCAGGTCTCGCTCTGCTCCAGTGGTTTCGAACTCCGACCGTAACACCCGCCCACCTTGGTCCTGGACAGCTAGATTAAAGTGGTGAGCCACCACCTGGCCGAGCCTTATTTGTTTAGTTCAATCCAAATCCATCCTTGGGTCTAACCCTTCTAAGCTGTCTCTCTGGAAACAAACTGAATTATCCCATTATGCCTGAGCCTAACATCCATGTTGCACTAACACACACAACTTTTAAGCACAAAATTGGGGAAATAAAACATTTTACACACGCTTTATTATTCAAGCAGTAGTGTGCAGCTGTTAAATAATACTTACTTTCCTACCTTGTATCACACTATAAAAGGGAAAGTCTTCTTCATGGAGACCTTAGTGAGCAGTAGCTAATTAAAACTCAGTCAACCAAAACGACATCCTATAACAGAACTATTATAAGAATGCTGTCTGCATTACTTGTAACTTTGACCTTGTATTATGATGTTTTCACAGTGATGCTTCTATTCTATCAAGATTACAGCTATTGCTTAGCAATCTCCTGTTGTAAAGAATCTTGACAATTCCAGTATCATTTGGGTGCAGGAAGAGGTCCTTTACATGCTCTCCTGCTTAAAACTCCAATCTTAAAATGGGCTCCAGGCCGGCGTATGGCTCACGCCTGTAATCCTAGCACTCTGGAGGCCGAGCGGAGGATCATTTGACTCAGGAATCGAAACCAACCTGAGCAAGAGCGAGACCCCCATCTCTACTATAAATAGAAAGAAAATGGCCAACTATATATTAAAAAAAATAGCCGGCATGGTAGTGCATGCCTGTAGTCCAGCTGCTGGGAGGCTGAGACAGGATTGATTGCTTGAGCCCAGGAGTGAGTTGCTGTGAGCTAGGCGACACAGCACACTCTAGCTGGCAACAAGTATCTTTCAACACTTTGGGAGACTGAGGTGGGAGGATCGCTTTAGGCCAGGGGTTTGAGATCAGACTGGGCAATATAGTGAGACCTCTATCTCTACAAAAAAATTTAAAAATTAGCCAGGCATTGTGCCTCTAGTCCTCACTACTCAGGAGGTTGAGGCAGGAAGATCCCTTGAGCCCAGGAGTTCAAGGTTACAGTGAGCGATGATTATACTACTGGCCTTACACATCCTGTTTTCTCCACAGTGCCTTGCAAGTAGGAAATATTTAGTAACTAATATTAAAAAAAAAAAAACAAAAACTGGGGTCAGAGTCTCACTATGTTGCCTAGGATGGTCTCCAACTCCTGGGCTCAAGCAATTCCCCGCCTCAGACTCCTGAGTAGCTGGAACTACAGATGAACACCACTACATCCAGCAGTAATTATTGAATGGAAACTTGTAGTTTTTCTATTATTATCCAGCTATTTCCTAACTTTTGGCACCACCAACCAGATCACATTAGTTTCTGATGTCTAAATGACTGCCACATGTTCTAAGAAGATGTTGACTCTTACATGTGAGATCTAGGAAATAGTCCTGATCTATCTCCTTGTCTCAAAGTCATTCCAGTGAGGACACATTTTGAGTAGATAATAACATTTTTATTCTGTTATGGGAATGCTTCTGTCTTAAATGGCTGCAAACATGAACTAGTTAATGTTCTTTCGCCCACAAGCAGTAGGAGGCGGCATATGGCGCGTTGGCAGTTGAGGAAACAGTAGAAACGAGCAGGTCTTTCTGCCCACCCTTCACCCCTGAAGCAGGCCCTGAAGGAATTCTGGCCTTGTCTGAGGTGGGCCACAGACCCTCATTTGAGAGGCGACCTCCCTAGAGCTGGAAGTATGTCCCGGAAGATGTCCAGAGATGCCAAGAAGAGTCCAAACACACAGGCCTCCTCGCTGCGCTGACCGTGAAATCCTTTTGCCTTCCAATCATACTTCTGCATGACTCACAAAAAATTCAAGTTTCCCCTGTTTTCTTTGGGTCTTCGTTTCCGAAGGCTCCCGTGCACGCCCAAAACGTCAGTAAACGCGGATGCCTTTCTCCTGTCAATCTGTCTGTTATCGTAAGTGCCTCAGCCATGAAATCTGCAAGGGTGAGAAATCTTTTCTGCCCTCCACTCCCACCCACCACAATGTTCTCCGGGAACTTCGGGAGGGCGGCGTGTCGAGTTGGGGGCTGCTGCCAGTCCACGTCCTTTAGCGGGGTACTGGGCGGGCAGAGGAGGAGCGGGCGCAGGGCCGAGGAGGAGAGCGAGGGGAGCGCGCTGGGGAAGCAGAGGCGCCCCTGCGGCCGTCCTCGCCCGCCCGCGCCGCCCGCTCCACGCGGCCCGTCCTCCGTGCGCCCCGGCTCGTGCGCAGACGGCTCTGACCCCGGGAACACAGGCGACGGCTGCCTTCGCTCTCCTTTGCTGTTTGCCTGCACACCGCGGCTGGGTGCGTCTTCAGCCGGCCGGATCCGCTCAACACGCTTGCACGGTGTGACTCGTGTGTATCGCGGCGCCAGAGGCCTCGCAGCGCTGCCGCCTTCCCAGCCCGCGCGCCCTGGGCCTGCCCGGCTTCCCTTCTGCTCCCGCAGCCTCTGCACACACCTGCCCGGGGCGTGCTGTTCCACGCGCGCTCCGCTGCAGCCCCGCCCCTCCCTCGGGCCTGGCCTCCTGCGGGGCGAGCAGGTGCGCACCCTCCCACCGGCCAGCCCCCCTCTCCAGACTGCCCTTGAGTGAGGTCGCTCGAACAGCAGAAATACCACCCGCGACAGTTGAGGCAGGTTTCAGCATAAGGTGGCTTCTTCCCCGACCCCCACTCTGCCCCTTTTCTTTTTGAGTCTTTTTATTTTGAAATGATTTTAGATCTACAGAAGACTTAGGAAGATAATACACAGAGTTCCCATCCGCCCTTCTCCCAGCCACCCCCCACCAAGTGTCATGTTACATAACCAGGGTGTCTTTATCAAAACTAAGAAATTCACGTGGGCACAACACTATTAACTCAGCTACAGAGTTGAGTAATTCGAATTTCACCTCGCTTTTTCCAGCAATGTCCTTTTTCTGTTCGGGGTGGGGAGGGGGTCTCTTGTGTTTCGTCGTCAGGCCTCAGTCTCTGCCAGTCTCTGGCTGGAGTTTCTTTCCGTGTCTTTCCGTGTTCTGCATGGAAAAGCACTTTCCCGAAGTACTGGTAGGAGGCACAGAAAGACAAATATGGCCTGTCATCACTTGCATGTGGAATCTAAAACAATCAACCTCATAGAAGAGAGTAGAAAGGTGGTTACCATGGGTGATGGGGGGACTGGGGAGATGTTGGTCAGAGCGAACAAAGCTGCAGTGAGTGGGGGGCAATAGGTCTTAGTGATCTATTGTACAACAGCATGCTGCCTTCAGTTCATAAGAGCGTGGTGTACATTTCAAAATTACTGAGGGTCAACTTCAAATGTTCTCACCACAAAGAAAGATAAATCTTCAAGGTGATGGATCTGTAAATTAGCTTCATTTAATTGTTCTACTTTGTAGAGATACATTGTTACATCACTCTGTACCCCATAAAAATACACAATTATAATTTATAAAGATTTGAAGTACCCTTCAAAAGCCAAAGTTTGTTTAGTAAAAAATGCTTTCTTCTGTTATTAAAAAGAATGAGCTGTAATAAAGAACAGTTCCTGGGGAAAAAAAACAGAAAAGTACTGGTTAGGTATTTTGTAGAATGTCCTTCCCTTTGGGTTTGATGTACGTTTTCTGATGATTAGACTGAGGTTATAGACTTTTGGGAAGAAAACCAAAGAGGCGATGTGCTTTTCTCATGGCATTATGTCAGGGTACTTGATATCGACATGACTTCTTACTCATGATGCCAACCTTGATCACTTGGTTAAGATGCTGTCTCCACCGTAAAGTTACAATTTTTCCCTTTCCCTACACTATTCATTAGAAAACAGTAAGTCCATACACACTCAAAAGGAGAGGAATTAAATTCCACTTCCTGGAGAGAAGAATATTGAAGAATCTGTTTAACCATTATAGTAATTAACGAGTATTTAGGGAGGAGGAACTTTGAGGCTATACAAAAATCCTGCTTCTTTGTAGTTTCTAATTTTAGTACTCATCATTGGATCTTGACTGCAGCAAAGTCTTTTTCTTTTTCTTCACTGTGTGGTTGTCCAATGATCTGTTTCCTGACTAATGAGATGTAGCTATTATAAAAGAAATTTGAGAGATTTAGCTGGCAGAGTGGGGTGTTAAATAGATTCCTGACTCTGATTACTAAATGAGTTTCTCATTTGGTTAGATTTCTTATTTGTGCTCTTCTGGAAGTCTGTTGCCGAGAAAGCTTCCTGACTACTTGTTCATGGATCACTGTACCCATGTGTGGTTGACTGCATTTAGGCTACAGGGAAAGTCTGGGTTCAGCTGCTGCCCCTGGGAACACTGATTGACATCACAGGTTACATGGGAGGCAACGAGTTCAATAATCAGAGAAGAGCAGATTTTTACGGAACATTGTGTAGCTGCACAATCCCTACTGCTGTGATATTGCTCTAAGATCACTTTGGCTTGAGAACTGACAAGTTCCGGGTAAAAAAAGGCAGAGTGGACACACCAGCCTAGAAAGTGAGAAGGGCAGATGCCAAGCTCTTGAGTGTGTTTGTTGGGGGGGAGGGGGCTGCTTTTGGAAAAGCCTTTGTAGTCAGGTAGCACCTCTATGTTAAATCCCTTTATAATGTACTTCAGTAGTTTTATGTATGATGCTTTAATTAAAGACTGTCATTTCCCTTCCACTGTAAGCTTTTTAAAGGACGGGCTAGTTCTGTTTTGCTTACCATTGTGAGCCCAGCACGTTGCCAGGTACATAAAAGGCACCAAATCATACTAATTGAGTGAATGAATGACAAGTAACTTGGAATTTGGAATGTCCATGCTTTCCATACGGTGTTATATTCTCTAGTATTAGAGAATGATTAGAGTAGTGTTATATTTTACTTGAATTATAAGCTAAAAAGACATTTGTGTATTAGCCTAGGGATTGAACTGTAATGTAGAACACAGTTAAGTATAAATTGACTTTGAGGTCTAAACAGATTTAAAGGCATAGGGCAAAAATATAGACTGTGGAGTCAGGGATATTGGATTCAAATCCCAGTTAGCACTTATTAGTTATGTAATATTGTAGAATTTAACTAACCTCCCTGAAACTGTTTCTCCTGTATAAAAGGGATAATAGTATCATTCTCAAAGCATTTGTTATGAGGATTGCATGAAATTTTATATATATATATATGTGTGTGTGTGTGTATATATAGGTACAGATATTGCATATGTAAAAATAGGCATATGTGTACTTACATGTGTATATATATGTGCACTTATATATATACGTATATGCAGATACTCTAATGTGTATCTCTCTCTTTGTGTCATGTATCTATAGTGTCTGGCACTTGGTCATTGTATCAGTCAGGATCCACAGTAAGAATTTCAACAGAGAAAATTTAATAGAAGGGATCGGTTAAACGGGCATCAGAGAGCTGAAGAAGCAGAGGGCACTGTGGGAACACGGAGAAAGGGTAATAAATGCTCGAAGCAGCAGCAGCAGCAGCTACCAGCGCCCGGGCCTGGCGCGAAGGGGAGAGGGGGGTGCTAGCATCTAGGAGCTGGGAGGAGGGGCCCACCCCGAGCTCGGGCAGGGGCGCCTGGCGGCTGGTGTTGGTGCCTGGCGCAGCGCAGGGGCGGCGAGAGGGCACAATGAGGCTGGTTTGGGGAGTGTTAAAGAAAAAAGAAAAAAAGGGCCAGAGGCTGGTACCAACCGCTGCCAGGATGAAAGCTGGACCGCGGGAACACAAATAACACGGGGCCCGGAGGAGCAAGGCCCGCTCCCTCCCTGGAGCTCGCGGGCGCTCTCGACTGCCCCCTGTTGGCCGGGCCTAGCACGCCAGCCGCAGGCTGGGGCAACCCGGATTTGCAGGGGCCCGGACCGCCCTGGCATCTCAAAGCCAAGCCTGTACGGGAGGGGGGGACTGGAACCGAGAGACAATAGCTTAGTAAACAGCAGAGTCATGTAGCTCCGTTTATTCCTTCGCAATTTTAACGGATGCCCAGAATTCTATTATACAACTGTAGCACAGTTTATCCATTGTCACGCTGCTGCACACTCGTGTTGTTTCCAAATTCTTAGTTGTTTCCAAATTCTTATTTTTTGAAAAGATGCTGCAGTGAACATTCCTTTAATTCTCTTTGGGTCATAAAATTCTGCAGTTGGGAAGAGCTTGTACGGCATTCTGCAAAGCATAAAGGAGTTGTTAATATTTTCCTCCCAGTACTGAATATTTAAATGCCATATAAATCCAGGTGTTACAAGCATTTTTTTTTCTTTTAGCTTCTTTCTCTCTTCTAATTATGCAAAGCTGGTGTAAGTATTATAAGCAAATCGTTTTCTCTCATTTCATCCTCCTGGGAAAGAGAACTTTCCTAGAAAAGAAGACCAGCACCTAGCAGAGAGCATGAGATGGTGAACACCAAAGAGAGATTTGGCAGTGATGATGCTGCAGAAACAAGCTGGCCAGTAATAAGGTGTTGCCTAGAGATTCCCAGGATTAATTTCCTTCCTCGCCGAATGTAACCAAACACAAGCAGGGTGTGCTAATGGCAGATGCCGTGCGGCCTTGTGCTCCTTGCTCTACGAGTGTCGTCAATAGTTAGCTGAGTTTTGTCAGTCCAAAGTCTCCCATGGTGCTTCTCCTCAGTAAGCAGGTCATTTTTGAGACATTCTGTGATTTTCGGTATATCTTCCTTATCACGCGCTTGGTTTTTCTGTTAAAGATCATGCTCGGTGGGCAAGGGAGGTAAAAAGACTTTGGAGAAGCAAGGGTGCCATCTTGTGGAATGTTTGTATTTAATTCTTTTATTTTAAATCAACTGTAGCACTACTACACGTGATTTGTAGGATTCTTTTAATTGCTCTCAGTACGCTTTTCCAACCTGCATTTCATTCTCTTGTCTCATTTATTCCGTGGCACTGGGGTGGTATTAATGTCAGTTTGCACGCCGGCACAGGATTCAGTAA